TTTTTTTTTTTTTTAAGATTTTATTGGGGACTTGGGGAAGGTGAATAGCCAAGTTGTCCTTTAATCTTAAATTGTAGACAGTGCATCTAGCTTAGCTCAAGGTGCCAAGCTCAATCTTAGTTGCAGGTGCATGTAGCCCACTATCCCAAGCAGGAGTCAGACCAGCAACCTTGTGAGAAGCACATGCTCTCACCAGCTGAGCCATCCTGCCACCTGTTGGTAGCTCAGCGGCAGCTCAGCTTGGGCGCAGCTCACTGGCCAGTGTGAGAATCAAACCAGCTACCCTGTTGCTCACAGCTTGCACTGTTAACCAACTGAGCCACTTGTCTGGCCCCTCCAACTCTTTTTAAATGTTGGTTCCTACATTCAGCAGCTGATGCTAAGATAATAATATGGAATGGGGAACTAATGATGGGATTGATTCTGTTTTAAGCGTACATCACTAAATATATCCTAAAATCTTTCCTAAATACATCCTAAAATCTTTCTAGCATATCTACAATTTGCCTCAAAATAATCTTCAGGGGCATCACAGAAAAAACTTGATGGGGGTATTGAAGACCAATGATCACATACTGAAGTTCATTTCTTTCTACTTTGTATATAGGTTAGAAATTTTTCCTAATTTAAATGAAAACAGAGTAACTACTACTAGTACAGTTGATCCTTAAACAACATGGATTTGAACGGCCCAGGTCCAGTTATACATGGATGTTTTTTCGATAAATACTGTCCTCATGATTTTAGTAAATTTTTTTTTCTAGATAATATAGTATATATAATACATATACAAAATATGTGCTATGTTAAGGCTTCCAGTCAACAGTAGGCTATTTAGTAAAGTTTTGGGGGAGTCAAAAGTTTTATGTTGGGCCAGCCAGTGGCTCAGTTGGTTAGAGCATGAGCTCTGAGCAACACGGTTGCCGGTTCGATTCCCACATGGGCCAGTGAGCTGCGCCCAAGCTGAGCTGCCAACAGGTGGCAGGATGACTCAGCTAGTGAGAGCGCATGCTCTAACCAAGGTTGTTGGTTCAATTCTGCATGGGATGGTGGGCTGAGCTCCCCCACCCCCGCAACTAGATTGAAAGCGGTGACTAGACTTGGAGCTGATGGGTCCTGGAAAAACACAATGTTCCAATTCCCCAATAAAATCTTTAAAAAAAAAGTTATATGTGGATATGACTGAAAAGGGTGTTGGCACCCCTAACCCTCACATTGTTGAAGAGTCAACTATAACAATCAATACTAGTAGTATTTAACTGCTACTAATTTAAACTTGAAAAACGGAAACTAAGGTTGGATATGTTACTACATTCTGCTAAGTGCTCTATGAGATCTTTTTGTAATTTAACGTAGAGAAGATATTAATGATATAGATCTCAAAGCCGTTTTTTAAAAGCATTCCTAGTGAAGAGTTTGTAACCACATACCTGTTTGTTCCTTTTCTAGCTTTTTGCTTGGCCCTTTCTTTCCTTGATCTTTGGTTTTATTTGCTTCTTCATGCTGTCTTTGTTCAGCAAGAGATTTATTCAGCACTTGTGTGATTACAGAATCACCTTCACCAACCAGAAACATGTTCTTAAACTTGTTATACAACATTGTTGACTTGTCCATGATAACCTGACTCACTTTGAATCGCCGTATCTGAGAAAACAAAATATAAATTCTTAATTATTTTCCTAATTGATTTTTTAAACGTTACTTTTTAATGAAGTGGTTTTAAGGAAATTTAAAATATCTGTATGACTCAAGATCCCTTACCTTTTTCAGGGTTGTAATCATCTCTGTGTGTTTCTGAGCTTGTTGCATTGTGACCTGAAGTGAAGCAAGTTCATCCAAGGCCTCAATACATCTGTTCACATCCTTCATGACAAAACAGTAATTTCATAACTGTTAATTACCAAGCCTATATAATCTATTTCTAAAGATTACTTTTAAAATCTCAAATAACAAGGCAGTACAAAATAACCAGCAATAGTCCCTTTTATCTTAAAATCACATACTTTTAAAATCATGAGAACATAAGCTATGAAAGCACTACTTTTAAATGAGGTATTAAACACTTACAAGATTATCAATTTTGAGTGAGTTTTTTATTTCAGCATGTATCCTTTGAAGTCGAGAATCCATTGATGTTTCTATAAATTAAAATGTGAAACAGTAAATCGTTTTTCCAAAACCAGTGTTTCTATATAATATAAGCAAAGTACAATGGAGTACAATAGAATTATTTGGTTAAGTTTTTCAAAATATTCTTAGTAATCTGTCTACATCACTAAGATTCTTAGTAATCTGTCTACATCACTAAGAAGTTATCTGCCATTTTTAGTATTTGCTTTAAGGAAAGCAGCATTAATTGTATAAGCAAAAAAATCACCATCTTAGCTGCATTATTCTGAAATAAGCAGTCAACATCTGATAATACACTTCTCTCTTCCAGTCTTTAAACACCTGCTTCACCTTACACATTTAACAAAAAAGACAAAATCTGAAACCAGATTTGTCAAAAATGGGAAAACATCTGGCTTTGGGCAATGTTAGAAAATTTTGACAAGATAATGAGCATTAAAATTATAAACATGACTCGTTAGCCAGTTTACCTGATTATAATAAAATGCGATGTATATACAAATCCATTCGAGATTTGTAAAAAGTATATATGCAGGATTTAAGAACACAAAAAACATATTACAAAACCTATACATAAAAAATCGTCCGTATAACTTCCTTTCTATGTGTAATTTTATTCTTCTTAGAAAGTGAAATAACTAACCTCTCTTCTTCTCCACTTTCTTAACTTCCGGCTTCTTTCCTTCATCTTTATTCTGCCTATCAAATGTTAACACAGATATTTCAAAACATTGGAACTTTGTGATTGATTATAAAATGCTCATAATCCCTTATGTAAAAGTTAAAATCTTTTTCTTCACAAAGAATTGACTGTAATTCTTAGAAGTCTGCAATGCCACAGCATTAGTATTAATTACTATAAATATAAGCAAAACTCAAAACTTGTAAAACCATGCTAAAATAAGTAGTCTAATAATCTCATTTTTTCAGTGGCATCACATTTAAATTTCATGTTGAAATTTTTCCCCAAGAATAAATAGTGTGTTGTCATAAGACATATCAGTCAGTGGACAAATAGGCCATAGTGAGAACAGAATGCCTACCAATGTTTCACAAATTCTACATCACACTTATTTAAAAAAAATAACACTTCAAAATAGGCTGATTTAATTGTTCCCACATCTCCGAAGGGTAGATAATATAAGGGTTTGAACTTAGTTTCAACATTAAATAGGTTGTTTAAAGATAATAGTATTTATATAAAAAATGTTTCTGCCAGTATGTCAAACTTAAATGATATTCACTAACGTTTACATACCATTTCACAAATGAAAAGGTACCATGGTACTGCAGATCACAAAAATAACCATTTAAAAATGAATTCTTATTAGTATCTAATACCTTGGCTTGGAGTTTGAGCCTTATCATAAACCAAATAGACAAGAACAAAAAAAATACCTAAAAATCAGGTTTTTTTAAAAAAAACTTTATTTTAAAATTTTGGTTACAGTTTCATTTTTGTTTTCTTAACAAGGCTATGTTTAATCTCTCAGAATTAAAAAAAAAAACAAGATTCTAAAGAATTAAACAACAAAGGAATGTCAAGGGAAGGGTACACCCCATTCTCTGGGGTATAATAGCGGTATAATAGCTATTCCAGTTTAACACCTAACTTCAAAACAAAATTAACTTTTATATTTTCTAAATGAAATAATGTACAACCACCATATCTTCATCTGAGCTTATTCTAATTTTCAAACACAAGGCTTCAGTTTAAGCTTTAAAAAAAAACTTTTAACAAGAATGATGGCCGACCTTAGTATGTAGTGTGTACCTTACATGAAATTTTAACAATCATAACACAGTAATAATGCCATTAATGAAGTCCTCAATTTAGAATCTGGAACATTCTTCCATCAAAGGGGGGGAGGGGAAAATTCAGTCCAATGAGTCTGTCTCAAGATCTTCATCTCTTGTTTGCTCCACTTGTATTTTCTTTTCAGTAACTGGATTAATGCTTTGAGCCCAAAATGAGATATATTTTTTATTACTGTAGATTACATGTTGTTTGGCTGGGAATACAATACAATAAACTTTATTTTGCATAATGCATTTCACACAAGTGCATCTGAAATGCTTTACAGAGCAAAACTGTCCAAGTACAAAGTTTTGTAATAACAGGAGAAGGAAAGAAAACACAAATATTAGAATTTGAGAAAGTTACATTCGGAGGACATTCAAAAAGAAACTGAAACACATAAAGATAACTTTGGATTACTAAAGAAAGGTTGGGCTAGATTTACTAAGCAGTGGTTACTTTTATATCTTAATTTGGAGAGCACAATAAAGTTAAAAACAATAAACAGTCCAACAGCTTTTCAGTGAAAAGATCGAAAAGGACAGTAAGAAAAAAATATTTACAGAAATGGTCAGTCTAATGGATTAGAGGGAGTAACATTTCTGAGCTTTAAATAAGTTTTTAAATTACTCCCTCAAGCAGCTGAAACTGCTTATATATCCTCCAAACGGTGAAAGCAGTCAAACGCTACACTTGACTTTTGGCTTACAAATGTATTATATAAAATACAAAATTAAGAACTGTACTGCTTATCATTAAGTATGTCTTAGTGACCAAAAGCATGTTTGAAAATGACCTCCTCACTAAAACAAAAAAAGTTTAATCAGAATAATTCAAGATGCTTCACAAAGAAACATTTTACAGGGAACAAACTTGGAAGTGACAGTCTAAGATAACTAGGAAAACAAACGTAATAAACACATGAAGTTTAATCATCATTGCCATTGCTGTTTTCATTCCAATAAAATTATTTTATTAAAAGGGGAAAGAAATCCCCCATGGTTAAGTATATACTATTTCCAAGTATCAAAACTTAAAGAGAAATCAGCTTTGAATTTGATTTATATTGCACACATCTAATGCAAACCCTGTCAGCCTTTAGATTTACTGGCTTCTTGGGTTTCCAACTGTGCTTTTGTTCTTTTCGCTGGTCTTTTGGAGAAGGCCTGCTGGTAGTATAACAAATAAGGGTATTTCTTTCATTCTTTCTCCATTAATACTTTATCACCCCTCTTTCTGTATTTAATACTATACAAATAAATAATAGAGGATGAGGACATTTTCTACAAAGCCACTAACAGTTAAATGTTATCTGCACTTTCAGTTTAAATTAAAAATAGTTCACAAGGTGACTACCCTCAGTGAATTTCATTCTCTTACTAAGAATGGGGCCTGAAACATGATTAGCATCATATACTGAAGATTTTTTTTCCTAACACATGGGGAAAAAGTCACATCTTTAAAGGCTTTGTAAGGTCTGGAAAATGAGATTCCATTGTTTATAAAAACTTCATGCTAGCTTTAAAAAGAAATGAAAATTTAGAATAAATAAATACTTACTGCTCAGTTTCCATCTGTTCCTCTTGTTTGCGTTTTCTGTCTGCTGCTTCTTTCTCATGTTGGCCTTTCAGCATATTCCTTCTGTGAGCAGCCTGAAAGTTTCTTCCACCTTTTCTCTTCTGTTTGGAGAATTAGGATGGATTTAGTTAACTAGCAAGTCAGCAACTAGTGTTCTATGATTACAATCTTGGGAGGAGGAAAAAACAACTAGTACTAACACATGTTGCTATCTAAATTTAACGTTTCCTTGATAATATTGGGAATCAAAATTATTTTCTGCACTGCTGTAAGAGTAATGTCCTGGGCTGGCCAAGTGGCACATTAGTTAAGAGTTGGCTTGGGACCCCAGCTGTGAGCATCTGGGCCCCGGTTCAGATCCCACATGAGAGCCAGTGGCACTGCGCCGTCTACAGCTAAGATGGTGAACTACAGCTTGACCTAGAGCTGGCTTGCTGTGAGTCCCTGGCGATGGCTGCAGCCCCTGCTGCAGTGGGCTGTCGTGAACTACCGTGAGCAGCTGGCAGCTGGCAGCTGGCGTGAGCCACAGACCAATGGCCGGTGACCTATCTGCCTCACCCAGGAAGAGCGCAATGATAATACCAACATGGGCCAGTGAAGCGACGTCCTCCACAACTAGAGTGAAGAACAAAAGGACAGCAACTTGTCTGTTCCCCTCCCCCAACCCAATAAAATCTTAAAAAAAAAAAAAGTGCTGTCCTTTGCTCAAAATCATATATGTCAGGCTATTAACCTCTACACTGAGTTTGACTTCAGTACCTCTTTACTGACAAGTACACTGCTCAACCCACCCAATTTAAAATTTTTACCATCTAAAGTACTAAGTAATCACAAAAAAATAAAAGATCTACACAACCTGGGTTACAGATCTCTAAGGCTATAAACAGAAAAGGATGCAAAGCTTTAATGAAATTCCTAAACTGTGGCACTCAAAGTACCAATGATAAAATGTAACCACTAAACAGGCCTGAAGAGTGGTGAAAATTCATTGGGACAAATAAAAATCTGTACACAAATGCACCTCTTTTACATGTCTACACCTGTCACAGCCTGTTTGGGTTAATTAATCTCTACTTTCCGATCTCTTTTACATAGGTAGGGTTATTGGAAGTTTACTGTATAACATTTAAAATCCTTATCATAGTTGTGAAGAGAAATTTAGAATGTACAATAACATTTAAAGTATGCCTTTTAACAGCTAATTCAAATTTATTCAGAAAGGTAAATTCAGTTTAACTTTTAATCATGTTTATGGACTTTCACAAAGATACTGAATGTTCAGTAAGCTTAAGAACTACATATTAAACTAAACGTAGAATATTTTCTTTAATACATAAATGTTCTACCTTTTCGCCTTCTTGATCATCTTCATCTTCAGAATCAGAGGTTGATGTAACCCCCGTTTTAGCTAAATTTTTGCTTTTTGATTCAATTTCTTTCTTCCCTTCCTTTTTGTCTGGCTCTTTTCGTGGCTTATCTTCTTCCTTCTGGCCTTCTTCCTCCTTTTTAAGCTGCTTTTTAGGTTGTTTTTCCTCTTGACCCTTTTTCTTACTTTTGTCTTCTTCAGTTACCCTATTTTATAGTGCAACAATGGAAAATGAACTTTTATGTATCAATACTTGTCATTCAACCATACTCTCCCAGTCAAACCAAATACAGTAATTCCTTGGTTTGCGAGCATAATTCATTCCAGAAACAAACTATTCGTATTATAAGACATCACTCATTTACCACATTAAAATGTATTAGAAATGTTTGCTCATCTTGCAGAACACTTGCAAACCACGTTACTCGCAATCCAAGGTTTTAACCAAGTATTTTAGGTGACACTAAGCTATAATTTATTTAAGATCTCTTTAAAATATTAATGGAGTGTCTTTACTGTCCAATCATAAACAGAAAAGGACACCCCTTTAATATAAATTACAAGATACAAAAATCATAGTGGCATTGGGGTAGCAAAACTGGTTTTGTTTTCCCCCTTCCCAAATTTTTCATAATGTGACTCATTCACTGAAAAAAAATGTCAAATATTATCTTACTTGCCAAAGTACTATTTTCTTGACTCTAGGGAATACAGCAATATAGATGGGTGAAATCCCTGGACCTTATGGAGTTTATAGTCCACATATTTATAAGAATAAATTTGTTTAAAAAGTAGACAGACTGGGAAAAATACAATTGCAAAAGTGAGTTACATATGATCAAGTATGGTCATTTTAATTAGGACTCAAAGAAATATTCTTTCCAAGGTAAAAGGCTCCCAAATTAGACATGTAAAATATATGGCCAATTAAGCATAGTATCGAACAGTGCTGACCTCTCTAGCACCTCCACAGTCCCATCAGTTCTGGATTGTAGGGAAGTCACTAACACAAGTCAAACTACTGAAACTGCTCAGTAATCCTACCACTACCACTGCATGGTATTTATGCTAACTACTACAGCAAAAATAAATGAGTATTTGTTATAACAGGCTCTAGAAGAAGAATCAAATGTTGCCAATGCTAACCACATACAGTAATTACTTTTCGGATATATATATTCAACTAAACACAAAGAAATACAGCTTGAAGCTTGGACAAGCTGTTTAAAAACGTAACCTTTTACTCAAGGAATTCCACAGAAATTTTCACAAATTATACAATTACTTCAGTGGATTTGAGAGCTGGACGGTACCTCAGATCGTCTAGTCCAACCAATTGCACTTGACAAATCAGAAAATGGTGCAAAAGATCAGTAATTAGCTCAAGGTTTCAATTCCAAATCCACTGACCTTCTACCAGACAACTGCTTCCTTGAATCCTTAATAGATTTTTAAATTAGAAGAGCAAAAATTATTTTTTCTCTAAAAATTTTTTGTCATATAACTATCATTGGGTATGCTTATTTTATTTTCAGTATTATATGGGTTTTGTCCTTTTAATCAATGGAAGAAAAAGCATGAAATACAATCATTTAACTTCAGTATTTCCACAAATATACACATTTTGAAAATATCACTGAGATAGGACTAGATTTAAATATTAAAAGCATTTCTATGGCTCTTAATAGATATTGACCAATTAATTTCCTCTCTTAAAATGTGACCCCCTGTGGAAGAAGCAGATATTAAAAATACAAATACACTTTGAGCCAGCAAATCTGGTTGTAACAATGTACTCCAACCAATATATGTGCACATGTACAAAACAACAGAAAACAGTTTTTTTAAAAGGATGTATCTAAAATGGGATAGAACTTAATTATGATATAATACACAGTGGAATACCATATTCCTGTTTCTTTAAAAAAAAAGATTAAAAGGTGTATTATAAGGTCATTAGAAAAGGGATTATTATTTCAAGGTTTTTTTTGAACAGTATCAAAGCAGGGAATTCCCACAAATATAATAACTGCTTGCTACAAATAAGTCTTTCCCCAATGGTCCTCATTACCACTCTCCATGAAAGACTTCCTCATAGTGACAATTTCTCTCTTTAATAGGTCAAGTTACAATAGGAAAATAGTACTTGTAAATTCCTTTAGACTTTTCATTTATGTTAACATAAGCAAAAAAGAATGTAGATATCCCCCAAATATCTCGGTTGCTTATAACAAGTATTTCTTACTTTACATGAGGGTTATAAGATGGTTTCAGTTCTTATGGGCTTATTCCACTGTCCTGTCATTTCAGACCCACTGTACAGAAGCTGACTGACAGATGCTGTTCTCATGGTGGAGAGCAGAAGTTTCAGAAGAGCTTACTTAGACAGTTTAGCTGTGCACGCCACTGAGTTTGTGCTCAGACACAAAGCCGAGAGTAGCTACTGCCATTGCCCAGCCTACACACAGCGTGAATGAAAGATAAATACAGTAAGCTGTTGCTCTTCGGGGTTGTCCATCACCTCAGCAAAAAGCTCACAACAGAAACTGATAACAGTAACAAAAACCTAAAACATGTGACACTGGCTTTGAGGCTGGGAAACTGAACTCTAATATATTATTATACAATGGTAAAACAGTCACGTGTGATAACTCCTAAGAAACATATTCAGTGAACTTGTGGCTTTGGGTGAAGAGGTTTCAAGATAGCATCCTGGCATCTTGAGTTGGTTGTTATCAAGATAAATTTGATAGAGTACTTCAGGAAAAAGATGAGTTCAATAAAATAACTGGAAGACGGAGAAGAATTAAAAGTTCCATGCATTTCAGTGTTGAAAGTCACTTCGATCCTGTAAAAGATTTTCGAAGATTGAGGTCAAAGATCCAATCAAGGGTCAGCTGCGAGCCTTAAGAATTCAAAGTGGGCTACCTTGACCCTTCAGATGGACAAATGGTCCTAGGAAAAAAAGAGACCAAGGGGGTGGTTTCTCAGGAAGGCCTATAAACTCAAATTGCCTGTAAGTTAAGTATAAAGAGATGAGCATGTCTGAGAAAGTCTTATGAGTGACGCCCCAGCACATGGAGCTGACTAGAGTGAAACATACAGACACACACACTAACAATCAAGTATTATCATCAAAAGTGATGCCAGCCTACATCCAAATAAAGTAATGGTGATCTAAAAAGGAGCCTTGGGCCCCAACTCCTTATAATCTGAAAGCAGAGAGCTGCTCAGCTGATGAGGAGGATAATATTCTCCAGTGACCTTTTCAGATGCAACCAAGGAGATAATGAAAGAGTAGAGAACTCTCAGAGAAATTAGCCCAAGGCCACAGAGAGAACTAGATTAGGGAGATACTCTCAGGGAAAGCTGGGGGCCTAATTAAAGGAACACTCCTTATATCTAAAATAGGGAGTCTCACAGTATGTTCCCAGCATAATTGTAAGTTTCCTAAGGAACAATGCCGTATGTCTCTTAAACTTACTCTCCTTTCCAAATGGGAGTATTTATTGTGGTTCCCTATCACATACTTCCAGATCTACATGTGCATATAAAGGGGCAAGGGGAGCATATAACTTGTGTTTTCAGTTCCTTCATCTCCAGATCAAGGCTTTACATTCATCATGAAATCCTAGACTTTGTGCCTGGTGCCACAATTACATAAGACATCTAAGACACGGGATGAATGAGATTTATTGGGTATGTTTTAAAACAAAAAAACTCACCTGCATATACGTATACCTAATTTCTTCATTTCACCACAGTAGTTAAAAGCTATGTTGTAATTCTGTGCCATTGTTTTTGAGAATACCTTAAAAGTACACTTGGAAGTAAAATAAAACTGTAAATATATTTCAGTTGAAAAGTACCAACCCTCCAGTGTTCTGTAACTAACATTTCCTTTAAAAATGCTTCATTCAAAACACTGTTAATCCATTCTTAAATAACATCTTCACTTGAGTGTTCTCTAAAAAATTTTTAAACACAGAAGCTACAAAAAGTTTTGCCTTCTTTGTCTAAATATACATCCTTCTCGTGAAGTTTGTACCCAGAAAAGCCAAGAGGGGAAAAAACCTGATTATTTTGTTGATAACTAAGTAGTTATCATTCCAAAATACTTTAAAATTTAAAAATTACATTACAAAAATAATTTTAGCACTATTTTAAAATAACAGTTATTCTGGAGTAGCTAAAAGCTTCAAAAATACTTTGTAGAAAACTACCTTACCTAATTTCCCTATTACAGATTTTACCCTGTATTATCTAAATATCTTTATATTCTGATATACCAAGAAAATGTCTTAAATTAATGGAATGATAATCACATAAGATTTTTGTGATTCTCTATCAATTTTTACTTTTCAACCTAATAAAAAACTAGAACAAGTTTTCCCAAAATTTTTTAGAGATACACATGAGTAACAAATATCCTGTAAAGTAAAACTGGTAAAATGCAGAGAGATTTATATTTATTGAAAGTCAAGTCTCATTTATTGCATAACTAATTATACATTAAAAATGAACTCACATGTCACTCTCTGAAGGACAGGTCTGTTTTACCATTTTGGGTCTGCCTCTTGGTTTTGGAATCTTGACTTCTGAAGCTAACGTTCACCGGGGGGGGGAAAAAAAAATCCATAACTACCAGCTTTCCCTTAAAGATACCAATCTCAAATATAAAGATTACAAGTGATATATAATAAGAATATTAGTTAGTGGCTTATTAGAGATACCATTATTTTAAGTTTTAAAGATAATATCCCACCTCCCCTCCATGGTTCAAATGAATAGCAGAAAATTTGCAAAGGTAGATCAACAGGATAATTTTCAATTTGTCCTTAGAATGGCTACGAGGGCTTAAAAGAACATCCATTCTTCATTCCATAATAGGAATATCACAAAATTATGACCATAGCACTTACATTCAATATTCATATACATATTACAATATCTTTGAAAATTTGTTATCAGAATTCACTGAGTTTTCTAACATCATTAATTTGATCCATTACAATATTAAATTTCAAAATAAAAATTATATAAACAAATTCTCAGGTGGCTTTTTCCCCCTTTGTGGGTAGTACTCATTTTAACCCTTCTCAGTAAGAATCCTATTATGAAGCAGAAAATAATATGCTATTTTGGTTAATTTTGTTTTACTTTATATTAGAAGCAGATCCTTGCAAACTATTTCCAGTTTGACAAATTTAAAAACACTTTAAATGGGCAATGCTGATGATAACTGCATCTTGTAAAGGTCCTAAACAAAGAATGCAATAATTTTTTTTTTCTTTTTTTTTTTTTTAGCTGAGCCATCCTGCTACCTATTGGCAGCTCAGCGGCTGCTCAGCTCGGGCTGGACTCGAACCGCTGTTGCTCAGAGCTCAAACTCTTGAGCGAGCTCTTAACCAACTGAGCCACTCTGCCGGCCCTAAGAATGCAATAATTTTAAATATTAATACTTTAATTACTCAAATGCTGTTTCTTTTGCTTTCATTATAACTCCATTTGGAAAGCTTATGCTTTCTCAATTGAGAGGATAAACTCATCATTCACATAATTTAAACCTCACCCCAGCCTCATTTGCCACTATTAAGGTAAAATAGGGATAAAACAGAAAATGAAAAGTCCCAAGCAATTATTTCAAATTTAAATATTTCATCACATAGCAAAGACCAAGTTTGTCTACTTTGAAATTTGTATATTATACATTACCAATTGCCTATCCAACAAAGTATCTGAGACAACACTTAAATGGATTGGAATACTGATCATAAGCCAGAGATTTAAACATCAATAATCCTACCTGCAGGTCGTCCTCTTTTAGGACTCACTTTTACATTAACAGATGCTGCTGCTGTTGTCACTACTCCTGCCTCCTCGGTTTCTACTTGCTTTTCTGCCTGAATCACAAAAATTTGATTATTTAGTAAATGGTTAAGAAAAAAGGTCACTGGTGAAAATATGTCATTCTAAAATAAATTCAAGTATAAGCATGATTTCTATGATCTTTATCATTTTTCAACAGTCAACTCATCAAAGTAACATCCTCAAATTTAGCTTACAATTCTAGTTAACAATTCTAAGAAACAAACAAAACTTCACTCTTTAGATAATTCTTTTTAACATAAACCTAAAAAAGAGGTAATATTCTCGATGTAAATGGTGACCAACCAAAGTACAAAGTATAATGTCATTACATTGTAACTCACATTTCTCATAAATGTTTTTTGTTTAAGATTTTTATTGGGGAATTGGGGGATGGGAACAGCGCTGGGGAATTGGGGGAAGGGGACTAGACAAGTTGCTGTCCTTTTGTTCTTCAGTCTAGTTGTGGAGGATGTTGCTTCACTGGCCCAAATTGGCACCATCACTGCGCTCTTCCCGGGTGAGGCAGATCAGTCACCGGCTTCTGGATGGCCGCTCACTGCGGCTGCTGGCTACACACGGTAGCCCATGGCAACCCACTGCAGCAGTGCTGCAGTCTATGCCTTCGGCGGCAAATCACAGCAGCCCAGCTCCAGGTTAAGCTGTTGTTCAGCATCTTAGCTGCAGAGGGCAGTGTCACTGGCCCTCATATGTGGGATCCGAACCAGGACCCTCTGGCGTCCCAAACCAGTTCTTAACCAACGCGCCACTCGGTCGGCCCTACATGTATTTTAATTATCTAAAAATGCTAACACTTTACACTGTATACTTAGAGAACCTAAGTTAATATTCTAATATCAGAAAAGGCAAAAAATTAAACTGATATTTCTTATTTTTTTAACTTTGTTAATATGTACATGTTTTACTTTTGAACTGAGACTGAGATCTGATGTTCTTCCCTAGGAGTTATTCTTTTTTATAAAGTGGTGTTTACTACCATATACAGAATGAGAAATCCCAATGGCCCTTTGCAAACTGTAAAACCCCCAAATAAGAATCAGTTGAATTGATTCAAGTAGAACAAAAGTTAAGAATCACTCATTAGAAAGGAAATACAAACCTGATCATAATGGAAAAGGGAAGATAGAAACAGTGAAGAGAACAGAGAAGGATGGAAGGACCACTATGAAATGCTTCCCCACCCCCGATTATTTAGAATTCAGCATTAACTACGATCAACAAAAATAAAGGCAATAAAGCATGCAAAAACATGCACAATCCAATCTTATTGATAAAAAAGTTGAAAATCTCTTAATCAATAATCTGATTTGCAAACATTTAAGAGGTAAGGCCCAGTATTGGTAAGGATGTGGAGAATCATTCATATATTGATTACTTATAATCAATAAATAATCAAAAAACTGGTAACACCTTTCTGAAAGAGTATCTTTATGAATGAATACTGGCCATAAAGAACATGCATATCTGACTCAGCAATCCCACTTCCAAGAAATTATCCATTTCTTTTTTGTTAGTTTTTTTAAACATTATTTTTGCTTTTATAATTAGAATATAACAATGCGTGTTCAAAGCATTATTAAAAGCCAATATTGGGGGAGAAGGGTTGTCACTTTGAGGGGTAAAAAGTATAATTAATAATGTTGTAAATATTTTGTAGGATGGCAGATGGTCACATGTCTTGTTAGGGAGACCACTTCATGGATGGGGTAGAGGCTTGATCACTGCACTGTACACCTGAAGCTGATGTTGTATAATATTGTATGTCAGCTATAATTGTGTGTGTGTGTG